TCCCTTTCGAATGAATTCCACTCTTGAGTAGGGAACCATGTTTTGTAAAATATTTTCAGGGCTCCCATAATTGCGAGCGGTCATCCCCCACTGACCTAGGCGGTGCGTTGGTCGCCCAGGAAGGACTTGCAGAGACGTTTTCCGCTTCTCTCGTGGTGATCATGCCGCATCTACGAGATGACACCGGCATCGCGCCGGCACGACGAAGTATCTCCAGCTGCACCGGAGTGCACTGCACGCAAGTGATGCCCAACGCTACTCGGCGATTGTGGATCTCGTTGTAGCTGAATTGTTTTTTCAGCAGGGTGTTGCGATCTGCGCGAGCACAGCTCTCCTGGCCCTCGATCACCAGCGACACGATGTGGATCCCGTAAAGCGACACGGTACCCACCTGCAACTCACATGGTTTAGCTGTACCACGATGCCCCTCAGAATCGAGCATCGCTGTGCCAATTTTCATCTCTACTCGTTTATTTATTTATCTGTCACTATTTTTCGCAGATCTCACGTGATTCACGAAATTGTTCTAATATTATAGTCGAGTCGAGCGTATTGGGATATAAATATATATATATATATATATATATATATACTATATGTTAATAATATATTTATATATAGTATTATATTTAATATAATATTTAATATAAATATAATTATATGTATAATAGATATATTATATAATATATAATTTATTTATATAATAATTATATGTCTCGCGAAGATACTTGTGCAGCAAAAACTCCCTCTAAATATACTAATGATATTAATTTACATAATTTTATTTAGTTAAGTTAGAGTTTTTCAAAAACTTTATACTGTTCGTAAATATTTTTTTTGGCTCAAGTTTATATTATTTTTAAAATTTAATTAATTAATTTCGAGATTTTGTTTTGTCTTTGCGAGCTCTGCGTTTACCTGATTCTGTTTTGGATGGGATTGCGGTTGAGGTGATTGTGCCGATTTCTGTGAAGAAGTCAGCGGCGGCATCGACAGCACTGCCGGCCCATCCATTCTTAAAAAAGATTATTAATACCGAATTAATGGGAAAATATATGAATAAAAGATTTACAATATTCTTGTTTGCTTTAATATTCACAAATATCTAATTTAAATTACATCAAAATACACAAATTGACATTAGAAGAAATCTACATATAAAAAAATAGTAGTATTTATATTTATTAACTATATTTATAAAAATTTATTATAAATATATAATATATTAATTTTTTTGAAAATTCTGAAAATATGGTGATTAATAAAATATTCATTTAAACAGAAAATTTGGCAATTATATTATGTCACTCTAATAAATATAAATTTTGTTTAAAAATGACATGTTCTGCGACCTCCACTTCCCGATGCATTTAAAAGTCATCGCCACCCTTGTGTCATTTCTATCATTGGCCCAAAACAAAATTGATTGTTTTAAACAACGTTTCGAAAATTGTTCGTAATTTTGTCCCGTCTATATCGCGTTATTCGAATTCCCGAGCCTATTCGACCTAATAGGGAAAATGCATCACCGATGCGACGCGGCAATAATTCGCCTCTCGACGTGGTTTTTATCATCATCGACGAGATTGATTATAATCTCTGATGTTTTACGGCCGCGCTAATAAATTCCGCGTTTCCCGCTCGCGCGCAGGATTAAAAAAAGCGTTCTCCTCCGGCTCCCACTCGTATCTCTCTCTGTTTCACCCTCTCGTTGTAATTATATTTATTACACTTTATCGATCAGCATTCTCTTTTGCTCCCTCTCTCTCTTTTCCTCCCTTTCTATATATATATATATTTCGATGTGCCGCCGCGTCCGGTGGATGCATTCAGCTCAATTAAATCGCGGGCCCTTCTCGTTTTTGCTCTGTCCCGATCGCCGACCAATTAAATCGCGAACGATAACGCGACTTTTCATAACGTAAGCGATAACGCGCGCGCTGCTGCTCTCAGACCTCCATTTATATTCGATCTTTTTTGACAAAAAGATAAAGGTCTGACTCTCTCTCTTTTTCCCCGGTGATATTTTTACAAAAGCGAATATATGGAAGCAATGATCAAATTGAAAGCTGGATTATATATTGGCTAATTTTACAAATCTATCTTTGCGCCAATGTTTCACGATTAATCCCAATTTTAAAAACCTATAAATAAATTATTAATTGCCTCGTCGATTGTAGAGCGACGAAACACATTTCGGTTGATTATTTATTTCAATCGCGTACTCGTATATTTCGTAGATATATTATTTTGTATTACACGTGCAGGCAAAGTGGCACTTTGCGTGCGTGTTTTCTGTGCGGAAAGCGGCCGATTTCCCACGTCGCAAGATGGCGGCGTGCGATCGGCCATCTCGCGCACAAAAAACGCGCACAAAGCCACTTTGCTTGCACTTGTAATACAAAATAGTATGTGTATCACGTGCGGATTGACAATTGTTCACTCGTGTTGAGTGGTCGCACTCGCCAATTGTCAACTTTCCGCACTTGATACACAATATACTATTTTCGGATGCCATATATATATATATATTATCATTTTGATACACTTGATTGAGATTTGCTGGATATCCTATATCGATGCCAAATTAATCGGAGGCGAAGCGTTGCACTCGCGATTGGGAAAAACACGCGTGCCGATTAAAAGGTGTGATTAAATTTGTCGCTCGAAAGGCCTTCCTTAATTATCGGACGGTAATTAAGCGAATCCAAAGACCCGCTGAAATTAAACTCGCGCGATCAAAGCGCTGGTCGCCGTATTCTCTCTCTCTCTCTCTCTCTTTCTCGAATCGCGGAATAGAATTAAGGACGATTAAATCCCTTTTCTCTCGCTTAACCTTCTTTCCGGCTTCTTTCCGTAATCGGTAATTGGTTGATTCGTTAATCGCGCCGAGAAAAATAATGTTACTGCGCTGATCTCTCAATGTAGGAAGAATTGAAAGGTATCGAGAAGAATTTTTTAAAATTATAAATTTGTTCGTTTGAAGAAAAAAAGAATTTTTCTTCGTACTTCATAATTACGTCTTTTCAATCAACGTGACGATGCCTGATTGAATACCGCATTCGCGCCAGGCATGAAGAGGCTTTACGAGGAAATAATTTAGTAGCGAACCGTCAATCTCTCGACACGTCTCCGTATTTTTTTTTTTTTTTTTTTTTTTTTTTTTCATGAATCAAAGTGGCAAGGAATTCGCGAAGAGAGAGGAATACGAGAGCGAGAAGCCTTTCTCAATGAGAACGATTCGCCAAGTTACATGGAGCAGACTTCCTTTCGCGAGGATCGTCGGATAAGGAAGAAGAAAAAAAGAAGACGTAATGCTAAAGGCGAAAATGAGAGTCGGCTCCGCGAATCGGGTTCTTTATCCTCTTAGCGGAAACGAAGAGATCGAAAAATTTCAAGTATCTGTAATAAGTGACTGAAGTTTCTTCGTTAGTTTAAGTTAGAACACGACAAGGATTTTCGAGAAACGTTTTTTTTTTTTTTCAAAGACGAATTTTGTAATAAATTTATCTCAAATAGATAAAAAAGATTGCACGCACTTCTAGAGACAAGAAATGGAACAAAAGTATGTGTATGAGGCATGTAATAATAATGACTTAAAGATGAGACATTAAATAATTTTATTACAATTGCTAATATCGACAATCAGGAAAATTTTTGAAACTTCTGACTCGGGTATATTTTTATTCAATTTATATATTCATATTTTTTATTGCTATTTATTAATTAATATTTTAATTAACAGGTTCCAGTTTGGAGGAAATTATTTTTGTATAAAGAAAAGATTGATTTTAATTATTTACAGCTGCTCAAATATTTATTGTAGATGCATCCTGTTGCCCGATCAATTTTGTTCGTCTTGTCGGAAATTTTATTACAATTGCTAATATCGATAATCAGGAAAATTTTTGAAACTTCTGACTTGGATATATTTTTATTTCAAATTTATCCTCAAATAGATAAAAAAATTGCACGCACTTCTAGAGACAAGAAATGGAACAAAAGTATGTGTATGAGGCATGTAATAATAATGACTTAAAGATGAGACATTAAATACTCTTGAATATTTGAGAAAGAATTCGTGAACGCGGAATTATTGCAAAAGCAATTCTCGCGGTGTGGCAAGAGATTTTTCATGAAAAAAAAGTCGACGTAGAGCAAGAGTGGATGCGGACGCGCGATAAATAAATCAGTGGAAGAGAATCCCCGGCATATCTCTCTATCGAATAACGCACCGCGAAATTCCGGTCGTTCCACAATATATATATATATATATATATACAGTTCTACATAACCGAGTCAATAACATAATGCACACATAAGACAAGAGAGACGGGAAAAAGAGAGGCGGAAAGAGCGAAAAAGTCGGGAAGGTCGAGAGAGAGGCTGCATCGCGGAACACAGGTACGCGTCGATTAGGAAGAGAGATCAAAACGGTCGGCGAGGGAAGGGGGTTGGGGCCAACCCCCGGTGTTGATTTTAATTGAAAACGCCTCCGCGTGGAGAGAAGAGAAGGTAGCGCGCGCACACATTTCTATATATATATATATACGTATACACACGAACACACAGACACCGATGCAACAACCTCCCCGACGTCCGGAGGCAGCGCCAGCGCAAACATCCCCGGGAGCCGTGGTACGAGGGGGTAATTCAATTTGACACCCCCACCCACGCTTAAACAAGGCAGCACCCATCCGAGAGCGTCCTCTCCCTCCCTTTCTCTCTCTCTCTTATCAGTTTCTCTTCCTCCTGCGCCGCCGTTGGCTCTCGTAGCGTGCAAATTAAATTCTCATCCACCGTGAAACAATGTCGGTACCCGACCCGGAACAACCCTCTCTCCCGTCCATCGCGAGTTTCAAGCCCCCGCTTCCTCTTCCCGCGCTTCGACGAACCTCGCGGATTCCGACGTTGGTTAGCGGTCGGACGGATCGGACTCGAATCGACCGCATTAATTACTAGCTACTTACAATTATAGCGCAGACCGAATAGAACGAACGCTCGATCGCGATAGCGCAAGCTCGCGCGTCGACTTGGCGAACGGTGATCAACTGTCGAGCGCGCCAGGAGTCACGTGACGCTCCGAGAAGAGTCGCGAGATACGTTCGTTGTAATTTATGATGATTATATGTTTAACCCTTTTAGCTCTCATTAAGGTAGTATTGATACAATATTTTAATGGATGAAATAGAATGACACATTTGCAGGGAATTTGATAAATGTGGAATTGTCAGGGAAAAAAGTGAGGAAATTTTACTATTTATCTGGATTTTTTCACATTCTACATTTGTTTCCATAGTTTGAAATTTTTATTAGATAAATCTAAACTTTTCCTCGACCCCAGCACGCTAATTTTCTGTGTTGTTAAAAATCGATTCGTTAATTTAGTGACATGTTTGTTTCGATTATCAGTACATAATGCAGATTGTATAATTGATTTAAATGATTTAACATTTAATTGATTTATCATATAGATAGGTATATGCAAATTATATATTTGGAAAAAATAATACTAAAAGGGAAAAAATTAATTTCTGGTTTTGGAAAATCTGAAAAAATCGGGGCATTCATTTGGATGTGGACGATGACAGTTAAATATACTTTAATTTAACGAGAATTTTCAATCTAATTTTACATTTAATAATAAAGCTTCATTGTTAGAGATTCAGATGGGTTTTCGAAATTTGCCGAGATAATTTCGAATTAATTTCAAATGTACTTTATAAAGAGCTTCTAACGCTCTGTTCTGTTTTAACGACTAACCAAATAATCAATGCTTTTCCACGATTAAAAAAACAAACCAAATTTTTTATTTAATTATTTCAACAGATTTCAACTTTGTTTCTATATATGCACTTTAATCGTGGAAAAGCACTTATTATTTTATTGGCTGCAGGAAAATGATCGGGTAAGAAAATTTGACGATTAAAATTAATCGTCAAGATATACCGTAATCCCTCCCGATGATCATTGCCGTAATCATCAAGATCCGACAGAGTTCAGAAATATCCCTGCGAGATTATTATATAGGACTGCGTCGGAGATTGCGCGCGCGAGACAGATGGATAAATCGGGGGTAGGAAAGAGAGGAGGGGGCAGGAGGGGAACGAGAAGTCGCTCTCTCAGGATTACGTACCCGCGGGCTCGCGGATTATTTAAATGCAAACACAATGTTGTACCGGGGCCGTATTGTTCCCCTCTCGGTTATTTTACAATTCAATCTGCGATCCCGGGTTCTCTCTCTCTCTCTCTCTCTCTTCGCCAACGCGACGCAGCCGGGGAGATTCATTGTAACATTGTTAAATCTCCGTCCTTCCATCAGGACTATCTCTCTTGTCCCTCTCTCTTTCGCTTCCTTTCGATTCAACTTCTTCATTTCGCGTCAGAAAACATCAGGTTCCTCTCTCTCTCTCTTTCTTCCGGTAATTGTACGCGTCTCGCAAATTCCTCGCATAATTTATGAGCGGCTTTCTCTCCCCTCGATGCTAACTCGTCAGCGGAGATGTAAATCGGAAACGGCAGGTGTGTAATCCCGCCGGACAACAAAGCGCGAAAGCGCGATGTAATCAGTATTAATACGTCGATGTCATCCGCGTCGCCCAGTATTTGATTGCGCTTGATACCCGCAATTAATCCTCGTCGATCTGTCCTCGTCGAGTTTAATTTCGATTCTCGATTAGACCGATTATATACGCGAAAATCAATCTCGTAATCCATTATCTCCCTCAAACTATATTTCTACCTATTTTCTCGAAATTGTCTAAATTAATCGACAAATCCTCCGATATTTACACAATGTAATATCAAACTTACAATTTTATATATATATATATATATATATTTATTTTATACATATATTTATATATTTATTTTATTTATATATTATTTTATACATTATATATTCATTTTTTAATAAACAATATTAAATTTTTTAATATACATATATATTAAAAAAATACTGATATATATATATATTAAAAAAAATACTGATGGTGGTGGAATTTATTTTTTTAATATACAATATTAAATTTTTTAATATACATATATATTAAAAAAAAAAAATACTGAATATATTTGAAATATATATATTTAAAAAAAATACTGATATATATATATATATTAAAAAAAATACTGAATATATTTGAAAATATATATATATATATATTTAAAAAAATACTGATATATATATATATATAAAAAAAAAAATACTGATGGTGGTGGAAGTCCCATTTGCTTTTATATTAATTTATATACAACATCGTTAATTCTTAATGCTTCTCTCGCAGCGAAGTATATCGGCTTTGTCAAGTAGCGCACGTTAATCCTTTGGTCTTTGTATCTGTACAGCGCGTTAAAATGTTATCATCTAGAGTGGCATCAGAGGCAAACATAACAGCCGTGGGTTGCTATCGGAGTCTGTCAAGAGGATCAGGAGATTAAATATGCCATTCGGATAATAATTTTAATAACCGGAATGTGCTTTCTCTCTCTCTCTCTCTCTTTTCCCCCGATAAGTATTCAGCTGATCCTGGGAGTCCTTTTACTTCATACGATATATTTTTACAATTGCAATTTATACGCCGAGTTGTATTCCTGGTATAAAAAGGAGAACGAAAATCGCGTTTGTATTTCACGATTCGAAGATTACGCGAATGTTAAGTCGGCATTATTTCCCGTATTATATGTAACTTTGCAGGTTTTATTGTTAAAAATAATAACCACGGGAAGATGTTAAGAAATTAAGTTGGCGGAATAAACATAGAAGGTTCTTAGGGAAATTAATTATATCTTGTTGGAAACTTCTCAAAAAAATTTTTCATTTCTAATATTTATAAGATTAGCTAAGAAGATTTAGTTTGATGTTTTCAGGAAAGGAAACGAGAAGCTATAAAAAGATACTTATAAAAAGACGTAGCCACTTAAGAGAAATCTTTTCATTACAATTCATTGTTAAATCCCCTTAAAACTTAGAGACATATCTTGCGACTTTTCAACGTTTCTTGCTTAAGAAAAACTAAGTCTGTCCAGAAACAAGCCATAAATCGCGCGCGTGTAGTCAACCAAAAAATTAGGCGAGACACGTATCGAACAAATCCGGAAACTTTGAGAAACTCGTCGACTACACCTGAGTCCAAATATAAATCATTGTCGCGTTTATTAATTCAATCGAAACACCATCAGCATTAAAAATCAACAAAAACATTTCCTATACCATTAATTATTCCAAGTTCTGCGTTGAAGAAAAAATGTATTGAATTCGAATAAGTATTTATTTCAATACTGCAACATTGATTTGACGTGAAAAGTATTTATTAGTTTCAAATAAATGATTTATTAGGAACTATTGAAATAAATATTAATTTAGTCATGTATCATTTTCAGTATGTAAATTCCCATTTTATAGGTATTTCCTATTTGTCCTCAAAATCTGCTTGCAACGAATGGCTTTGCAAGTTTCTTTAACATTATGTACATAACGAAAGGATTATACCAATGAAACTTATAATCCGCGAACTCGCGTTTAACGATAAATGTATCATGTGAAAAAACATACGGCGAAATACCTAATTAATATCTACTAGTTAAGACAGCTCTCTCGCAGTCTACGTTAATAGTTAAATTTACAATCAAACGATTTCATTTGATTTAATTTTTTCTTTTTAATCGGAACGAAATAAAGTTGCTCCTTTGTAGGAGAGGCAAATCAGCAGCGGCTAATCCCAAGCACAAACAGTTTATGGCGTTTGTTCGCTCGGCACTCCGACGACCCCACGAATTCTCGCGGGACCAGTTTGCTCGGGACCCGTGAATCGACTATCAATCTATTTAGCAATGTCCGAAGGGGGCTCTCTTTACGACACTGATTCCCTTCGAAGGCTCGGCGAGAGTCGTTAGAATTATTCTCGAACTTCAATGCGTCGTCTATGCTTCGACACAACAGCGATTGGAATCTTAAATAAGTAATCTGGGTTTTTTAATTGCGTGTTTTTCTTACATTTTATTCGCACATTTGAAAGATGAAGTGATGATTTGTTTATAATTAAAATAGAAGAAAAAAGGGGATGTAGGTAAAATATAATTAAAAGTATAGAAAAGAACTTACAATATATAGAAAACACATGATACAAAAATATAATTGAGATTCCTACAAAATGCAGAAGTCGATGCCTACCTGAAGGTGCAGTACAGACGTCAACAGTCGGAAATGACGACTGTTCCGCGATTAGAGTTTCGTCAGGCGATGATCAGATCGATTTTCCTCTCCAAGAACTTCCTCCACGGGCTTCTTCGAAGATTACTTTGAAATATGACGGACACTCTTCTTCTCGGTTACATCAAGGATTCGTCAATTGTGACAAAGCGAAGCCTCGTCTCCTCCAGCTTCATTTCTGTTCTTCTACCACAAAAACAAGGAGTCGCTTCTTCCAAGGGCTCGAAACTACCTTAATTACGATACGACGATTAAACCTCCGCGCCCCGACGGGGCAATACTTGTTTCGTATCGCCGTGACCGACTACGGGACGCGTCCAGAGACAGGTTTACTCAGCCGTCCGCCGCGCACAGGGTGCGTGTCACCCTCTTTTTCTCCGAGCGAGAACGCTAAATCGGGCCTCGGACTCGGCGAGGAACCGCCCCCGAGTGTTCCACCCCCGTGACAACCAACCCCATGCCGACGAAGGCGGAGCCTCCTGGCTCTCTCCGGGGGTGGCTCACCTCAGGGGTAACTACAAACACGTACTTACCGAACGTTATTATTATACCCGCACTCGACCCACGCGCGCGCGCGCGCGCGCGCGTATGCTCGGACTTATGACAGGCTACGGCGGAGTGTGTTTTGGTCTTACGCGTGTGGAGCGAGGACAAAGTTCGCTGAAAATTTCTCACATTCAGATTTTTCAAACTTCTGACCCGGGTAGATTCTTATTCAATTTATATATTCATATTTTTCACTGATATTTATTAATTAATGTTTTAACAAGTTCCAGTTTGGAGGAAATTATTTTTGTATAAAGAAAAGATTGACTTTAATTATTTGCAGCTGCTCAAATATTTATTGTAGATGCATCCTGTTGCCCAATCAATTTTTTTCGTCTTGTCGGAAATTTTATTACAATTGCTAATATCGACAATAAGGAAAATTTTTGAAACTTCTGACTTGGGTAGATTTTTATTCAATTTATATATTCATATTTTTCATTGATATTTATTAATTAATATTTTAACAGGTTCCAGTTTGGAGGAAATTATTTTTGTATAAAGAAAAGATTGACTTTAATTATTCGCAGCTGCTCAAATATTTATTGTAGATGCATCCTGTTGCCCGATCAATTTTTTTCGTTTTGTCGGAAATTTTTTTACAATTGCTAATATCGACAATCAGGAAAATTTTTAAAACTTCTGATCGGGTAGATTTTTATTCAATTTATATATTCATATTTTTCATTGATATTTATTAATGAATATTTTAACAGGTTCCAGTTTGGAGGAAATTATTTTTGTATAAAGAAAAGATTGACTTTAATTATTTGCAGCTGCTCAAATATTTATTGTAAATGCATCCTGCTGCCCGATCAATTTTTTTCGTCTTGTCGGAAATTTTTTTACAATTGCTAATATCGACAATAAGAAAAATTTTTGAAACTTCTAACTTGGGTATATTTTTATTCAATTTATGTATTCACATTTTTTATTAATATTTATTAATTAATATTTTAATGATTTCCAGCTGCTCAAATACAATAATTATTTTAGATGGATTTTGTTGCTCGATCAATTCCTTTTGTCTTGTCGGAAATTTTCTTACAATTGCTATTTTAAGAAATTTGATTACTCGATAAGAGATATAATCTCGACAATCCAGAAAATGACCATAAGATGTCAGTTAAGAAGAGAGAAGTCTAACTCTCTCTTCTCTCTCCGTCTGCCGATCTCCGGATCTCTCGCTATTAGAATTGGATGCGGAACACCCTATACATTCTTAAGCGATAGTATTTTCGCGGAGAACGACTTTCTCTCAAGACATCTTTTTCGTGCGCGCATCGCGATAAGACCTCCTCCAACGTCGCCAAGGAGCGCGTCTACGTCAACGACGATATTCAAGACGATTAAAGAGCGCGCGCAAGCGTCTCTGTTCGCTCGTGACGTAAATTAAATCCGCTTAACACGGATCTGTGTGAGGGGAATAGGACCGATTTGCAGAGATGCTTTTGATCAAGCCGAGAATAACTCGTCGTATAGCAACGGTGACAAATAAACGATATTACAACCTGGACGAGCGATGACGAGCTCACAATGTGTCACAATAATCTCGAAATAACATGGGATTTTTTCTAAAGCTTCTTTCTTGGGTAAACGAAAAATGCGTAAATTGAGTTGAAAAATTAATGATACATTTTTTCATTATTATTAAAATTAATTTCGACGAGAGACTATAGTCTGTATAATATCGATTTAGCGTTGCAAGGAACGAAATGATAGCAGAAAAAAATGATTACAATCGCTTCGCGTATCTTTTTCGCCCCTTCGGGGCGAAGGTTTCGTTTAACGAACCGCAAAGAGGCTGGTACAGTTTGTACCCCAGTTGGCCATTACGATCTTTCTTTTTTTCGCTGTTCCCTCTCTCTCGAATCCGTAATAAATATTACGTCGGGAACCCCTGCCAATTATGCCGGACTACCCCGAGTGTCTCTCTTTTTCTCTCTCCTGTCTCGACGAAAAGTCACAATACGCGAACATAAGGTCCGACCTGGGGTTTCATGGTCGCCCCCTTTGCGTTGTTACCATCTTCTCCTACTTTTCGCACCCTCTCTGCGCAGCCGAGTGTCGGAAAAAATCCGTGACTGCGTTATTTTATTAATGTCCGTCGTCGACCGCTAGCAGGTCTGTGAAGTTGGCACCCCAAAAGGCGAATTTTTGCAAAATTGAATAATGTGCCATTAAATAATCGTTTTTTGCCCACTTGGAAAAAAATTGAAAATAACAAAGGAATTAATTTTATCGCGAGTACCTACCCCTAGATAGGTTTTTTAAAAAATTATATATGCATTTTGATCATAAATATAATCGTCTTTTAATCAAAATTAAAAATTAAAAAATCAATTAATTTCATCATAAGCATCCCTAAGTGTGATTATCAAAAATTATAAATGGGGGCTCGTTATAAAATATGTTCAATTTTTTTTTGCAAGATGGACAAAAAAATTGCCACATCAATATTGTAAAAATTCGCATTTCGGGGTGTCAATTTCACAGACCTGCTAACACACCGTCCGATGACACTGACAGATAGCAGATTGAATCGCGTAATTCGAAATTAAAGGGCGCTTTTTAAGTAAAATTGAAACGTGGTCGAGAGAGTACTCCAAAACAACATAACCCAGGTCGCAATTAGAAACAGGTAATTTCAGGAATTAATATAGTTTGCAACATTGAAATTAACATATAGAATTTCTACTCTCTCTCTTTCCCTCTATTAAAATTAAATAATTTCAGAAACCGAAACTTCGCATATCCAAAATACAAAATATAATTAAAAAAAAAACAATTTGACACATCATACGAGTAATGAAATAATTTTTCCCGGTTTTTTACTTCAATTAACATATAGAATTTCTACCCTCCCGAAACTTCACATATCCAAAATATAAAATATAATTAAAAAAAAAAAAAAAAACAATTTGACACACCATACGGGTAATGAAATAATTTTTCCCGGTTTTTTACTTCAATTAACATATAGAATTTCTACCCTCTCTCTCCCTCTATTAAAATTAAATAATTTCAGAAACCGAAACTTCGCATATCCAAAATATAAAATATAATTAAAAAAAAAAAAAAAAAACAATTTGACACACCATACGGGTAATGAAATAATTTTTCCCGGTTTTTTACTTCAATTAACATATAGAATTTCTACCCTCTCTCTCCCTCTATTAAAATTAAATAATTTCAGAAACCGAAACTTCGCATATCCAAAATATAAAATATAATTAAAAAAAAAAAAAACAATTTGACACACCATACGGGTAATGAAATAATTTTTCCCGGTTTTTTACTTCAATTAACATATAGAATTTCTACCCTCTCTCTCCCTCTATTAAAATTAAATAATTTCAGAAACCGAAACTTCGCATATCCAAAATATAAAATATAATTAAAAAAAAAAAAAAACTATTGGACACACCATACGGGTAATGAAATAATTTTTCCCGGTTTTTTACTTCAATTAACATATAGAATTTCTACCTTCTCTCTCCCTCTATTAAAATTAAATAATTTCAGAAACCGAAACTTCGCATATCCAAAATATAAAATATAATTAAAAAAAAACAATTTGACACACCATACGGGTAATGAAATAATTTTTCCCGGTTTTTCGCTTCGTCTGAAAAGAAAGACGCGCCCTTCGAGTTACGACGACGTATCCGCGCGAGGATCTCGTGAAAATCGAACGGGGGACCTCACGATTCCTAGTTAGTGGCCAATTACTCGTGGCGAGCACGTCGTTCGATTGCCACGGCGATAAAATTAAACGGCCTTTATTACCTGCCGGCTTTCGCTGCCCCGGAATAAGGATGCGCCGGACGATCGAGGTAACGAGCTGCCACGGTGATACTCCGGCGATCCGCACCGAAAGAAGATGAAGTGGTGGTAAGCGCCGCGGATCTCTCTCAATGGACTGCCGATGCCAGGGGTTTCGCTTTGATGAGGGCGCGTGTCGGATATTAAAGCTACCTTCGTCGATCAGACCGCCGACCGCACGCGGTCGATTTGCACGAGGATTCCGACCCGGAGTCTCTCTCTCTCTCTCTTTACTCGGGAGAAATAGAGCGAGGGATTGCGCGCTCGATAAGTTCGCTTTTCGATACCGATCAAATCCGAAAGGGAGGAGGAAAGCTCCTGTAATGCCGTAATAATGATCGAAACCGCGCTGCCGATTGTTGGATCCTTCCGATCGGTGATCGGACATTTCACTAAGCGATTATTAACTATCTCGTTGTGTTGAAATACACGTGTATCTCTCTCTCTCTAGCTGTATCTCGCGGTTACCGTATTTAATAGTCGTCACGTTCCCCGGTAATCCTGAAATCGATTTCTCTTTAACGTATGCATTTCGTTAACGTAAGATTTTATTTTTGCTTATGATTATATAAATGTTATATCTATATTAAAATTAATATGTAAATATTAATTTTAAATTAATATACAAACATTATGTATTAATTTTATAATTAATAAATTTAATTATAATTAGATGCTTGTGTTTCCAGCTCTGCGATTTTGATTTTCCAGATTTCTGGAAATTGCATAAAATTTCACAAAACGTACATAAAGAATATAAAGATTTAAAGACAGTATAATAAATGTATTATTATTCAAATAAAACTTTTTGATGTATTTATACATTGTTTACTTATGAAGCAATTTTTTTAGTCGACTTGAGAAATTCAGAAACTTTATTCAAGGTGTCCAGTAGCTTAATGAAAAAAAATTCCCTGACTTTTTCAGATTTTCCAAGACCAGAAGTTAATTTTTTCCCCGACCTCTTAGTATTATTT